AATAGAATAGAATAGAATAGAATAGAATAGAATAGAATAGAATAGAAAAACAGGAGTTGAAAGGGACCTTGGAGGTCTTCTAGTCCAACCCCCCACTCAGACAGGAAACCTTATACCATTTCAGACAAATGGTTGTCCAATCTCTTCTTAAAAACCTCCAGTGTTGGCGCATTTACAACTTCTGGAGGCAAGTAGTTCCACTGGTTAATTGTTCTCACCGTCAGGAAATTTCTCCTTCATTCTAGGTTGCTTCTCTCCTTAATGAGTTTCCATCCATTGCTTCTTGTCCTGCCTTCTGGTGCTTTGGAGAATAGCTTGACTCCCTCTTCTTTGTGGGAGCCCCTGAGATATTGGAACACTGCTATCATGTCACCCTTAGTCCTTCTTTTCATTAGATTAGCCATACCCAATTCCTGCAACCGTTCTTTATATGTTTTAGCCTCCAGTCTCCTCATCATCTTTGTTGCTCTTCTCTGCACTCTTTCTAGAATCCCAACATCTTTTTTTACATCATGGCAACCAAAACTGGATGCAGTATTCCAAGTGTGACCTTCACATGATCTTGATTCTATCCCTCTGTTAATGCAGCCTAGGACCGTTGTAACTTTGAATGGTCTTTCAATGAACTGTTATCAGTGGAGGACTACCTGTATTAGTTAATGTGGTATGCTTTTGTAGTAAAAAAAATCTATGTTAGCTTTTAAAGAGAGATTACTGTTGTTGGTAGGGTAGATACTATCCATGATTTAATGAGGTGGTTCCAATCTGAAGGCAAGGAGATCCCAGCATCCTCTGAAAACTGGATCTGTTGCCATTATGTAGAAGGTCTTATTGGATATAGTCTAAAAAGAAAACATTGTTCAAAGAAGGCCCTTTCAGTATGCTAAGCTACAAAACAGCAATGTAGGTGGTTTTGAAAACGTGATGTGGGTTTATCACTTGGAAATCACCATCCCTTCTGGCATAATCTCCATCCTGTTTGGGGCAAATGCTAATATTGTCAGCATTTATTAATTTTAGTATGATAACTGGACAGCGTGACCTGCAAGCTATCTTATGACCTGCCAAAATATGTCTAACCACAATGTGCAAAGCAATCTTGTTAGTGTCAATCTTATACAATATACACAATACATCAGCAATCCACTAATCCTTCCTCGTAGTAAAGCTTTTGAGGTTCCTTGATGCTCTCTGAGCTTGGTTGATATCTTGCAGATGTTTCATGACCGAACTAGGTAACATCATCAGTGCTATAAGGGAGTCAGGCTTGGGTTGGAGGAGGAGGAGGGGGGGGAGGAGGAATAAGAATAATTGTGGAGTCCTTGTTATTCTCTGAGCTTGGCTGTTTTATTGCAGATGTTTCATTACTAGACTAGTATATAATATAACTTCTAGCACTGGTGATTTGGCCTGATGAGAAGGAAGGACTCCCTGGAGAAGAACCAAATGCTAGAAGAAGAAGGGGATGGCAGAGAAGGAGGTGGCTGGATGGAGTCACTGAAGCAGTTGGCATGAGCTTAAATGGACCCCAGAAGATGGTGGAGGACAGGAAGGCCTGGAGAAACATTGTCCATGGGGTCGTGATGGGTCGGACATGACTTCACAACTAACAAGAACAACAACAAAGTACTGATGATATTGCTTAGTTGCATCAGGAAACATCTGCAAGAAACCCACCAAGCTCAGAGAGCACCAAGGACCCCACAGTTCAACCCTGAGCTGAATATATTCTTTTCTACTGTGGAAAAGCAAAATTTACACATTTCCCCTGCAAGAAAATGCATTCGCATTCCAATGATGGAAGGATTGGTGTAAATCCACCACCACAATCTACCCTTTCTAATCCTGACAATGGTCCTAATCATGGTTTCATACCTGGGCCAGATCCGTGCTAAACATTACTTCCTTCTTTTTGAAAAAAGAACATAATGAGATGTTCCACTTTTGCATGTATAAAACCCTTTCTTTATAATTACAGCCTTTCAATGTTGTAAATTCCCCCCAAATAAGACGCTCGAGATCACATGTCGAGTGTGAATTACAATTAGTCACAAAATTTTACTCACGATTGTCTGAAATACAATTCTCAGAACAATGGATACTTAAACCATCCGTGCTTCTTCGTTCATGTAGAGAGCTGGAACAACATCAAAGGGGAGAAATTACATATTAGAACAAATTTATATTTGTAAGGTACCTGATATCTACAGTTTACAGAGTTACAGCTTCAGGCATCAACATCTTTAACGAAGCTCTTTGACCCTTTGGTGAAATTAAGGCCACTGTTGGACAATTGTGGCATAGGCACCATTCCTAGAACAGAGAAGATGGCATTGACTTATTCTCCAAAATACCTGAAGGCAGGGCAAGAAGCAATGGGTGGAAGCTCATTGTTATGACCTAAGGCTTCCCAAGACCATGAAGCAGATTCTTCGTCCTAATAAAATCCCTTTTATTTAGTTTAAAGTGAATTCCTCTCCAGCAATGTCCCGGCAAACAGTCTTTCAAGAGATTTCACAACTATAGACCTTTATCAGGCTGGGAGAACTGCCAGGCCAATATTTCCAAACGCCACGCTGTAGCAGCAATTACTTGGCAAGAAATCAGGAACAGATCTTCACCCTAGTGAATTGAACTAATTGTCTCCTGCAGACACCACTCCCCTTTCGCTCCTCTTCATTCCCTATGGGAGGGGCCATTCAAAATCGACCTGTGCCTTTACTCCTGAGTTGATCCTTGTTCCTTAACTATTCCCTTCTTCTGGCAGCTCTGCACATGAGTACACTGGGAACAGGCTCCAGCTGTTCTTCTGCCTCACTGATCTCCGACTGAAAAGGCAGCTGATAACTGTCGGATGGACCTGGCCCCATCTCAGCCTCTGACACAGAGTCCTCATCAGAGTTTTCCCCAGATTCCAGGACTGGCCCATGTTCTTCCCAACCTCCTCACTATCCGAGTCTGCCATCAGCTCCTGCTGGCCACTGGCGGGCTACAACAGTCATCAAAAGGAAATCCAATCTGGAAATCCAAACTGGAAATAAGGAGAAATTTCCAGACAGGAAGAGCAATTAATCTATGGAACAGCTTGTCTTTCCAGAGTTGTGGGTACTCCATCACAGGAAGTTTTGAAGAAAAGATTGGACATCCATTTATCAGGGAATGGTATAAGGTAGGGGTGTCAAACTCAAGGCCCACAGGCTGCATCCAGCCAACAAGGTGCTTACATCTGGCCCATGGGGCCAGCCTGGAAACAGCAAAGGACTGGCCCAGAGTGCTCGTGAAAATGGAGCTGCACCCTGTTTTTGCTGGTAGCGGGCTATCAAAGCAAACTGAAAAACAAAAGAAAAGGAGAAATGTTTCCCCTTGTTTGCATTTAAGCATGCAAGAAGGAACAGGAAACGAGAAAGGGAAAGAGGAAAGACAAAGAGAAAGGAGGGAAGATGGGAAAGAGAGCAAGGAAGGAAAAATAAGGAAAGGGGAAAGGAAGAAGAAAAGAGAGTGTAGAGGGAGGGAAATAGAAGGAAGGACGTAAGGAAGGAAAAATGAAAGAAAAAGAAGAAAGAAAGAAGACAGGTTAGGAAGGAAGGAAGGAAGGAAGGAAGGAAGGAAGGAAGGAAGGAAGGAAAAAAGAGGTGGGAGGAAGGAAAAATGAAAGAAAAGGAAGACAAAAGAAGACAAAATGGGAAGGAAGGAAGGAAAAAAGAGGTGGGAGGAAGGAAAAATGAAAGAAAAGGAAGGAAGGAAGAAGACAAAATAGGCAGGAAGGAAGGAATGAAGGAAAAATAGATGGGAAGGAAGGAAGGAAGGAAGGAAGGAAGGAAGGAAGGAAGGAAGGATAAAAGAGACAGGAGGAAGGAAGGAGCTATTTGAACTGTTTTAATATATCTTACATTAAGGATAGAAAGTTATTTTTTGGGATGAAAACTGAAACATCTTCAGAGAAAAAACAAAGTTCAATTATCTCTTGAAGAAAGCACCTTTGAGACTTCTAGGTTGCTTCTCTCCTTGATTAATTTCCATCTATTGCTTCTTGTCCTGCCTTCAGATGCTTTAAAGAATAACTTGACTCGCCCTCTTCCTTGTGGTAGCCCCTCAGATATTGGAAGTCTGCTATCATTGTCACCCCTAGCAGAGTCCATAGCCGCCCAATGCTGCTTTAATGGTCAATCCACAAACTGTTTTGCAAAACACATGCAGCTGTTAGCAAAATTAAAAAAAAAAAAACACAATACATTTCTTCACTCAGCCAAAATGTCATAGTGTTGCCTCAATCGGACTTATCATAAATTAGAAAAGGGAGGTTCATGGCCTTGATGACAATTTCTAAATAGATGACATTCTGTCCAACTCACCGGAAAAAGAAACCCCAGTGTAATCACGTCAAACTCATCATCTTTCCCGAGACAAGATCAAAACATTGGGAAATCTATCAGACCTATCCGTTTTCTCTCTTTCAAAACTTCCCCTTCTATTTCTCTTTTTAAAATAGGGTGATGGGAGGAGGAGGAGGAGGAGGAGGAGGAGGAGGAGGAGATGGGGGTGATTGACTAGCTCAGACTCGCTTCCTCATCCCACATTTTGCAATCTGTGTAATCAAAAACACCCAATGCTCAACAGAAATTAGGGAATTGTTCCATTTCACTAAGGGAAGTGGTGGCTCAGTGGCTAAGATGCTGATCTTGTTGATCAGAAAGATCGGCAGTTTGGCGGTTCAAATCCCTAGCGCCACGTAACGGAGGGAGCTCCCGTTACTTGTCCCAGTTTCTGCCAACCTAGCAGTTCGAAAGCATGTAAAAAATGCAAGTAGAAAAATAGGGACCACTTTGGTGGGAAGGGAACAGCGTTCCGTGCACCTTTGAAGGCATTTAGTCCTGCTGACCACATGATCATGGAGACATCTTCGGACAGCGCTGGCTCTTCGGCTTTGTAACAGAGATGTGCATCACCCCCTAGAGCCAGAAATGACTAGCACATATGTGTGAGGGAAAACTTTACCTTTACCTTTATTTCATTTAGTTAGAGTGATTCACTTACTTATTAGCTCATGAGCACGCCAACAACAGGACAATGTAAAGAAAGCCCTGACTGCAAGATGCAATCTGGGTCGGTCACTGGGACTAGAGTTTAATCTTCTGAGCTTTTGGACTCGTGCTGGAGCCCATCATCATGGAACTTCTCTCTGCAATAGTGATGAATACCTGTAGCTCAGGTGTAGGTGGATGGTGAAGGATTGTTCTCCAAGCTACTGGGTTGGTTTCTGAACATTTTGCTACCAGGCTAGGTAACATCATCTTCTGTGGAGTTAAATTGAAAATCTGGCTCCACGAACACCGGCTGGCAGTCAACGCCACAATCTCAAGTCTTTAATCTCTACAAACCCACCAGGAACTACATTCAGCAGTCCATCTGCATTTGAAAGACCAAGGCCGCTCTTTTGAAGACAGCAAAGTCCACATTTTGGGCAGAGAGGACCGCTGGTTTGAAAGACGGGTCAAAGAGGCCATCGATGTCAAAATTGAACAGATCTCTCTCAACAGACAGGGAGGGATACATCATCTATCTCTAGTCTACAACACAGTCCTTTCAGCAGTTCCAAGAAGGCTCTACACCTGTTTGCACCACTCCAGTGACCCTCCAGTGACACAGATAAACCTCCAGGTGGCCTCAATGGCTCTCAAAAAGGATGCAAATGACCAGCTATCTGCAAGGAGTATATAAATCCTTCCATTCCCCACCATCCAGTAGAGATGAAGAAGGTTCTTGGATGAGAAGTGAAGCGTCTTCAAAGAAAAACCAGAAAGTTCAGTTGCCTCTTGAAAAAGCACCTTTGAGACAACCATGACCTGAAAGACTGAGAATCTCCATAGACCTTAATCCCCACCCACACCCACACCAAACACCAGTTTGATTGGAACACCACAAAAATTATTGGCCACGCTACCACACGCCATGCTCTTGAGTTCATTGAAGCCTGGCACTCCACAAGCAATATAATCAACAGACACCAACCAACCTATGAACCCTCAGAATCCAAATCAACCACACAGCCAATCAAAGATGGCACTGACCCTCAACCAACACTTGAAAACCCACTCCCCGAAATTCCTGTCCCAATTGCCCTAACCCAAGGATCTGCAACCTGCGGCTCTAGAGCCACATGAGGCTCTTTCAGCCTTCTGTTGCAACTCCCTGTCAGCCACCACTGGCTGGCCGCGCACCCATCCCCTCCCTCCCCGTCACTCCTCGCCTGATCTGAGAAGGTAAGGATGATGGTAGGGGATGGAGACTCACTCCATATTCCATAGCAGGAGGTGACTGGGTGAGAGTGAGTGACGTTGAGTTGGCCCCGCCCACCTAGTCACACTAGTTGTTAAATTATTGGCCCCCGGTGTTTTCTTTTCTATGGGAAATGGGTCCAAATGGCTCTTAAACCTCAAATGGTTTAAGGTTGCAGATCCCTACCCTAATCTGATGTAACCTCATCACACCCCATCACAAGACAAACTGATGACTCACACCTGACCCAACACAAACCCTTTATAAACAGAAGAACACTGCAAATAGAAACTGAACTGAACTGAAACAAATTAACAGAGTTGGAAGTGACCTTGTAGGCAGGGGTGGGCTTCAAATTTTTTAGCAAGGGGCTCTCTGACCCTAATGACTGACTGGGTGGGCATGGCTAGGTGATCATGTGATCGGGTGATCAGGTGATCAGGTGGGCATGGCTAGGTGGTCATGTGAAAGGGTGGGTGTGGCCAACTCGACGTCGCTTCTTTGCCCTAATTACCTAAAAAAAAGATATACCAAAAAAGTTGTTTATTATTCCATACACTTAACACTTAAATAAAAGACTCGGTGAAACCAGGTTTAATAGCA